TGAGGCACGTAGAGCCCAGCGTAGTACCCGCTCCCAGGGGACAGACCTGGGGTCTTTGTCCCTTTGGTGAGCCTGGTTAATAGATCCTTAAACATACCCTTGAAAGGTGGCAGATTTGACCCCACCAGCTCTGAGCTGGAGCAACCCCTGCCAACGCTGCCCACCCCAAACACCTCCCCCACCCACCCACTCTGCCCAGTTATTCCCACTCCAGGGGTTTCCTCCATCAGGCTGGAGAACTGGAGCTTTGGGAGCTCAGCCCCCAGCACTGAGGGTCCAATCCTGCTGCCGCAGAAACTTCGGTTCTTAGAATATTTTACTCCCTATCAAGCACTCCCTTAGCAACGCCTGTTTCCATGGCAAAGAGCAGAGAACCTCCACGCTGATGCTTTGCCTCAAACTCTAATTTCAGCTCGTTTTCCTTGGGTGCTGCCCCATGGGCCAGGGCCCCAGCACCCATAGGGGCTTCCCACCCCAGGGTGGACCATGGGTGGCTGCTGTGGGCCCTGGGCAGGGACACAAAGCAAGGGGGTGGATTTACCTGGGAGCAGGAGGTGTGTGTCACACGGAGCCTCTTCTTGCAAGAAGGGGGGGGCTTAGAACACACTATACCCCCCAAAATAAAGCTGGTTTCCATCCCCTGCCAGCCCAGCTCTGGGCTACAGAGTTTTAAGGCAGAGCTGTGCCCAGATATGGGGCAGCCCAGGCTTCCAACATCACCCTAACGAGCTCAGACACCTGCAGGTTTCCCTCCCACCCCAGCTTTCCCACATCAAGCCTTAACGAGCCCCACCAAACGAGGTGCAGGGCCCCGGGGCAGCGCTGGGTGCCAAAAGGCACAGCCTGAGCTGGTGGGTGCTGGCACTTTGCTTCCCCACAGGGACACCTGAGTCCCTTCAACAATGGGGATTCCTGCAGAAAATCCAAATGGAATATATATATATATGGAATATATATATGGAATATATATATTTTTTTTTCAGTTTTCAAGGAACCCCAGTGATGTTCTGGGCTCCACTTGGCAAAGAAATGGGCTTTAATTCTGGTATCTCCCTCCTGAATGGAAAAAACCTCCACTTGGGAGCTCCAGCAGGTTCCCAGGACAGACCCTCCGTGGGGACATTCCTTCCAGGAATCACCCAGGGTCCCCATTTTCCAGCCCAGAGCCCCAGAATGAGCGATTCAGTGGGTGCCAGACCCTCCGCAGAGCTGGCACTGCCGGGTTTGCCCGGTTTCACCTCCCTGGGAGGAGGGAAACTCCTTCCTCCCCGGCTTCTCTCGCGCTGCAGCGGCAGCGAATTCCTGCAGCACTTTGTGCCCTGAAGGAGCCTTAAACCCTCCCCAATCTGACAGCCAAAAATAGCTCTCGCTCTGCCTGCTTCCCAGCGTTCACTCCCCCTGATTTATTTACCCCGGTGCTTGGAATCCCAAATCCCGGGCAGAGTGGAAAAAAAACGCGGCATCTGGAGGCTCCTGGGGGGGGGG